TTTGAAGGTTGAGAAACAAAGAAGTCGCGTCAGTTAAGGTTTTGTGGAGGAGTCAGTTTGTATAAGGAGCTACTTGGGAAGCAGAAGCAGCCATGAAGGCCAATTATCCTCATCTCTTTCCTTCTGATTCCATTCCAGCTTGAGGTAATAGTTCCTCTCCAGTTTTTCAGCCATTCTTGTGTAGCTTCAGTCTTAGTATCTTGTTCCTTCAGTTTATACTTCCATTTGCAGCATATTTTTGCATATTCTTGGAACTTAGTTCAGTCATATTTCAGTTTCTAGTGTTTAGTGGTAGAGTTTGCAGCTCTTTCCTTCCATATTCAGCTAGTTTAGTCTTCATTCAAGGATGAATGTTCCCAAGGGGGAGATAATGTAACACACCGTATCCTAGACAGACCAAATTGCAGAAATCAGAAGGTGCAGGTGCCACCGACGGGCACCACCCACAGACCGTAGGTGGTGGTCCGTGGATGGCCACTTGCAGCCCTCCCCAAAAAATATTCTAAGGCATGACGGGTTACGTCCCGAGCACTTCTTATGTACGGGATGGCTTTGAGACATTATTAGACTTCAATTTCGTTTTATATATCTCTATGTTTTGAAATTGTCTTTTAAATCTCTTGATTTCTATGTATGCTAAGTGGTTTGTATGGGGCCTCTCGGGTTCTTATACGACATGCTACACCTAGGGTCTACCTTGGGTCATGACATCATCAATGGCGGTAGAATAGAGATGGAACATTTGAGAAGATGACTTTCTATTTCCCTCTTTGGTTGCCAATTTTAGTTTTGCCTTTGTCTTTCATTTTTTTTCCTTTGATGTTATATTCTCATTTTGATTTTAATAAATGAGGTTTAAAGGCCTCACTTATTTTTTAAAAGGGTTGGGTCCGGACCCGCTTAAGTTTACTTTGGGTCGAATGGACTTAAAAATGGGTTGGGTCTTGACCTACCCAATTTGACCCGCTTAATTTCAATAATTTTAATATATTGTTATTTAAATTTTATAACCACAATATGAATTTCAACTCAAAAAAGAAAAAAGTTACAAATGGATAGGTAAATATCCTAAAAGATATAAAATAAATAGTAATTCATACCTTCAATATAGGAACATATATTACATCAATGCAAATAAAGAGTCTTAAAACGAGTTGAAACTGGAGATTAAGTTGGGTTCAATTGAGGATCCTCTTAAAATGAGTTAGGATTTGAATGGGTTGAGAGTGAACCCAATTCGAATTATTTTGAGTCCAACCCTTAAAATTCTGGGTGAGTTACCTATAATTGTGCTCATTTTTTACACCCCTACTCTTTGTTGATGTTTAGAAATGTATATAAATTGGCATCAATTAATAAGTTTAGCTTAGTATGTATAGATATCTTACAATGTGAAATATGTTTGAATTTTGATATTCCATCAAATTTGTGAATTATTATATCTTTTATTAGTGTTTAAAATATGTATAAAAATTGGTATCAATTATTATAGTATGTATAAAGATTTTACGGTATGAAATAGGTATGAAATTTGATACCCCAACAAATTTGGAATTATTATATCTTTTATTGGTGTTTAAAAATTGATATCCAACTACTCATTAGTAAAGAGCAGCAATTTGTGTATTATTTTTAAAAAGTGTATTAAAATTGGTATCAATTATTAAGTTTAGTATAGTATGTATAAATAATTTACTGTATGAAATAGGTATGAAATCTGATACCTCAACAAATTTGGAATTATTATATTTTTATTGGTGTTTAAAAAGTGTATAAAATCGGTTCCCAACTACCCATTAATAACGAACAACAAATTGTGTATTATTTTTAAAAGTGTATTAAAATTGGTATCAATTAGTAAGTTTAGTATAGTATGTATAAATATTTTACTGTATGAAATAGGTATGAAATTTGATAAGAATTTTTTATTTAAGAAATTTGTAAATATAAGATGCTAATTGTAAATGATGTAGTGTTTTCAAACAGAAACTAATTATCCACTTCATGCAGATTCATACAATAAAAATTATTCATCTAGAAAAATTACAATAAAATCATATTCCAAAAATAAAAATGCTTATTTTGAATTTTTTTTTAAAAACAATTTTAAATAAAAAAAACACCAAAAAATGATATCAACAAAAACACTATTACGTTCTTTAAAAAATTGACAACTAAAAAGGAGGAGGAAGGAAGAACCAAAATAGGAGATTGATACTATTAATTAGGAGACTCATAATAACTAAAATAATGACCAATTAATTGAGAGAAAATTAGGGTATTGATGTTCTACCAGTTATAGAATACTATAATTAAGAAAAACAGATATTATTAATTAGTTGATTAAAATTATTTTAATCTATTTTCCATTTCTTATTTATTTTATTAATTTATTATGTTTTAGATATTATTAGAAATCTAATGTTACATATTTTGAAAATTAGAAAGTCTTGTTAGAACTAGTAATATCCACTCTTAAGTATGTTATTTATTAAACGGAGAAAGGTCTAAAATGCCCCTCAAATATTCGAATTGGTACAAAATTACCCTCCATCCACCTATCGGCCTTAAAATACCCCTGACGTCCACCTTTCGGCTCAAAAATACCCTCGATGTTAATCCTTTGACTCATATTTACCCTTATTTTTAATAGCTCCTTAAAGTAAAATTATTAAATATTTATTTATTATATTGCTCAATGTGATTGGTCTAAATATAAATCCTTCTCAAATAAATAATAAAAATGATATTTTTAAAAATTCTATTTTTCTATAATACCACTTATGATTCATATTTTGACCTGATACACTTGAAAATAATATTGAAAAATATTTAATTTCATGATATTTTTCTATTGGCCTATTTTAAATCAACCCCAATTTATTATAACGTAACCCAACTCATAAATGTGGATTCAACTAAACTCCATACTTACCCTGACTGATTGTCCATCTAAAAAAATATTACTTTCATTAATATAAAATTTTCTCTCAATTATCCAAATGTCTTGTTCATTTTTTTCTCTTTTGTTCCTTTTTTTAATATCTTATTCTTAATTAGGATATTCGGGACTCAAACTTGAAATAAACTCACATATTTATATTCTTTAAATTAGTATTATTGTCATGATGGGATGAGGGTGGGGATAAGAGAAATGATTTTTTTTAATTTTTTTATTTTTAATTTTGGGTACACACAAAAGAAAAATGTAATATTTGTACCTATTTCCTTAATTAAGTCATCTTTTATTGAACTAATTATTTTTGTATGAATGCATCGTTATTTTCCTCCTTTTTTCTTTCTCTTGTTTGTCATAAATTAAAATAAAATAAAATAAAATGGTGGACAAGATCCAAATAGAAAAAAAAAGAAAAAAAAAGGAAGAGATAGGAAGTGAAGGACCGGGGAGGGAGAAGTGTAAAGACGAGATGCCTAACCTTTTTATAATTTTAAATTTACTACGAAATTCAAAATAAAGTCAATCATGTGAGCCTATTTATGAAGTAATTTCAAATTATTTTAATAGAAAATGGCATAAAATGCCCTTAAACTATGAGATTTGGTACAATATTACCCTTCATCCACCTAATGAATATGATCTGTTAGACATAAGTGTATTTTTGAGCCGAAAGGTGGACGTCAGGGGTATTTTAGGGCCGATAGGTGGATGGAGGGTAATTTTGTACCAATTCAAATACTTTAGGGGCATTTTAGGCCCTTCTCCGTTTATTAAATTTACTTAATTCTCAACTTTTCTTTAACCAATGTTTGCTCTAATGGAAGAGTTGATAGGGATGACAATTAGGCAGAGCGGGATAGGAAAAACTCTTAACGAGGCGGGGCAAGGGAACATTTAAATGGGGTGGGGTGTGGCAGGTTAGGGCAAAAATTATGTTTTATAAAAAATTTAAGGGGAACTTATATAAATCTCACTAGTTTAGGAGCTAATTATTTAGATACATTCTAATTTGCAATATTACGTAACTTACCAAATTTTGGTGCCTCCAAATTCGTCCAAATACATGAAGTCAAAATTACGTGTAATTTGTTCTATATACATTATATCCAAGTGGATTCGCATGTATCTGGGATACATAAAAAATCTCACTTGCCACTCTCCCATGTATCTGGTATTCCAAATACATGTGAATCACTCCATAAACATAAAAAAAAATACATCTAGTGTGATTCGCATGTATCTGGTATACACATGAATCTCGCTCGCCTTCCCTTCCCTACCTCGCTCATCTCTCCCTATTTTTGTGTATTTGATAGCAAAATACATGTATCTAAGTAAGATACGTAATATTTTGAAAATGTAGGTAATAATAGTATATATGGTAATGAAAATGTTTAATTATGTAGTTTTTTCAAAATTTAATGGGGCAGAGTAGGGCAGGTCAATCTAATAGTACTCCTTCCAAGTTGTTCTTCCCACTTAGAATCCTACATCTTTCTACTGCGATGTTACTACTATCATTCTGTGCATTAATGCTCTAACAAAACAGCTCAATAAGAAAAGCATATTGACGAAAAGATGGTCTCTGTGGCTGTGCATTGCATATAAAATTGCACTCTGCTGCAACTTCTCCTATAATTAATTCTATATAAGCTAGTAAGCTACCACTAATTTGTTTTTGAAACTTGACTAAATTTGTTTAGAAGACAACTGCAAAAGAACAAATAAGAAAAAACATAAACAAAATGCTAAATATGACAGGGCAAAATCTTAGCAAGTCAAGACTTGCCCCGCCCTAACCCGTCCTATTGCCATCCCTAAGAGCTAATAAAAGATCAAATGTCCAATCCTCTACTGAGAACTTATTAAATGTCCAAAAAAAGTTGTTTAATAACTTAGCTAAAAATAAAATGTTACACAAGCACTTATCTGAACATTCACTTTTGACAAAATTGACTCCCAATATAAATAGATCTTGAAAGCTTGACCAAAAGGACTCAATACATTTTCATATAATAGCGAGTGGAGAGAAAAGAGGTGCAATTACTCCGTAGAAAAACTTCAATCACTGAGCTCAACATGATTATTACAACTAGAACAAAATCAGCAAGGCATTTATAAGCCACCGTGAACCATACATCTCTGGACCCAACTGCCTAGTCACAATATCAAATTAAACATAAAAGTTCCAATGCTAGATGTTCCAATCTTGTATAGAGTGGGAATGAAGTGTTCTAAAACGGCTAAATCCTGCTCCACTAGGGACTCATTTTCCTTTGGATTCAATCACCCTCTTCGCAAAAGACGGCAAACAGAACGATGCAGAGTGAATCTGGGGGTAAAATTATGAAGAGGAACAAGTCAAACACACAGTAAGTACTAGAGAAGTGAGTGTGTATTCGAAAAAGGAACCAGAGAGCAAAATGACATCATACCTCAGAGTTGTAGAACTTCAAGGGTCCTCTAGTTTTGGTGTGGCTATCGTCAGCATCAATTGGGTTAATTGGATTCTTGAAATCAACCGCAGGTCCCTCGGTAGAGCAGACCATGAAACCAATAACACCACTGAAATAAAAGACAGTAAAAACAAACCAAATTGGGATTAATACATCAACAGTCAGGTATTCTCAGTTTCACCACCATCCAAAATTAAAGGCATGAATGACAAACAAGATTAACAAAAGAATGCATATATATCAGCAAATATCCTGAAAGTGTACCTTGGATAAGTAGGAACTGTGGTCCAGGCATAGTTGACTGAGCCTTTGAAGATCTGGCGGCAGTTTGCCACGATATCTTCAATTATGTGCATGTGAAGCCATATGCTCTCAGCCTGAGTACAGATGACCCCTCCAGGACGCAGAGCCCTTGCTACTGATTCAAAGAAAGGCTTTTCGAACAACTCTTGTGCTGGACCTAGAGTTAAAAGAAGAAAAGTTTAAGAGATGAAATTTCAACGACACAGGCAGTAGGAAAGTAAAGAGATTACCTATGGGATCAGAGGAATCCACTATAACTGCATCATAAGTTCCTTCTGGAACATTTTTCAAAAATGCAACTCCTACAGAAATGGGAGAGGAAAAGGAATAGCCCATGAACAGTTAATCGATAAATTCACAAAAGACCAACAAAAAAAGAAATTAGTTCTGTCATCTTCTCAGATCATACCATCACCAACATGGAGTTTAACTCGGGGATCCTCATATCCTATGGCAACATTAGGGAAAAATTGTTTAGAGACCTGAAAAAAGAAAAAGGAATTATGAAATCATTATAGAGCAATGCTCCACCAAAATCAAAATTTCCGAGCAAACTAATGAGCAATGAACTACAGGGATCATAGAAAGGAATGAGTTTTGCTGCATCTACCACATCAAGACTGAATATGCCACAGGGTACTCGAAAACAAATGTGTACAATCTTTAGACTTGCCAAATTCAACAATTTTTCTCTACCCTTGGTGCAGATAAGAGAAAAAAAGAACAAAGTACAACTTTAATTAAAAGAATAAAGAAGCCAGATGACTTACATCAATTACCATCTTGTCAATCTCACATATGTCCATCTGTTCAACAGAAGAATGCCGAGACACCTCACGCAAGACACCACCATCACCTCCTCCAATAACCAACACCTAAAGTAAGAAAATCAAACTTGAAGTTTGGCACACAAGTAGAAAACACTAATCTAATTCCATAAAGTATCTCTTGGCCAAACTAAGAATGCATGCAGTGATGCGATTCTTAGTAAAGGCTGGCAGTCTTCCCACTTACAAGTTCTCATTCCCTTCTAAATTCAGCCCTTCTGAAAACCAAGATGATAGCATGTACGAACATGCGTATAGACTTACTACAAAATGAAATTACTAGGCAAAGCCACAGAAAATAGGATGCAAAAATTATCACATATAGTAAGTTTAAGAGGAAAGAAGTTTGGTTTTGAGAGAGGTGCTAATTACCTATATCTGTTCTTTGCAAAATATGACTAGTGAGAACTGACCACAAGCATTATACTTGTTATTTACAAAGTAAGAAGCAGACGGGGATATATCTTCTATTATTTTTGAGTTTGTGCCATTGTCAACGGAAACTAGCAAAGTGCCAAAAGAATACAAGATTGACATTACATAAACATCAAAACTACATAATCTCCAAGATTTATATTCCATACTGAGATGTCAAATTTCACTATTGAGTAATGGACCTTTCTAGGGTTTGGAATTGAGCAAAGTGGGAGATGAGTGATCATTTCTTGGTAAGCACATTCATCCCGCTCTGTGAGTTGTATCACACCATCCAAAATAAGCACTTTCCCATAAGTTGATGACTGCAGCAGAAATAAACTTATGTCATGAGCATCAAATTAAAGAGCTCCCATTCCATCAAATAGTGAGAGAAACAAACTCAAGGCATGAATTACCTGAAAAACCATGACATTTTGGTAATCTGACTTCCCCTGAAATAATATCTTTTCAACCTTCAATGAGTGTGCTTCCCCTGCGTATAAATTTCCAACTTCAAAATTAGTTTGTCCCATAATTATGGAAATCATAAGAAGGTTAAGAAACTCATCATTACAACTGACTGACGAGCATATAACTATGTAGGTCCACACATATAACCGATCCAACATGTTATGATTCTAAAGCTTAGAATTCAAGAAGTGTAAGTAAAAATAAATGAATTTCAAAATCTTCCACATATTATACAGAAATGAAAAACTGACAAATTCGCCATATAGAAAAATTATGTTAGTAATCTACAAAATGGAAACTCCACCTATGTGAGATTCGCAAAACATAGTTGATTTGAAGCTTACCATTGCATTAAGTTAACGGTCAGGTAAAAATAATCAATAATTAATTATCTATACTTTTGAATACTACGAGTAGAGTGGACTGAATACATAAGGTTTAATATAACAGATAACTACTCGTATCGTTTGGAAGCTAGACACAGTTGAGTTGAGTTTATTTGAATTGGCAAAGCCAAAACATTCATTTTACAGGTTACAGAAAAGCATAAAAAAAAGATGTGTGGTTTTGGCAATGCACAGAAAAGTAGAAAATCGTAAACCTAAACACAATAAACCATTTTTTTTTTTAAAATACTCAGGAAACACTTGTTTCTCAAGTGCAAGCAATCATCCAAAAAATCAATTCAACATATAGATGCAGAAATAGATAGATCCAACATATAAGCAGAAAGCACACCATATCTACTAAAATCTCAACAAAAACACAATTGCAGAGATTATCCTAAAAAGCAGAGCAAGTAATTCAATCAATAACAACAACAACGTCTCAATCTGAAAATCTATGAATCGTGAAAATCCATTTTCGTTTGGATTAAAAGACGTAAAAGTTGATGATATATGTAGAAATGCATAGCATAGCATACCAGGCCAAAGTGGGCTAATCTCAGAGAACCATCCAGGTAAGATAGAAGAAATGTAGGGAGATTCTTTCTCATTATTCGCTTCTTCCATTGACACAACACAACCTTCTCTTCTCTACCTCTCCCCTATTTTTATTTATATAGGAGAAAAAAAAAGAATTGTAGATTCGGGTACGAAACCGTAGAAATGCTTACAAAATACGCTATTGATTTGATTGTCCTCTTCCTTTCTTGAAAATTTTAAGTTTTTAATTCATCCTCATAACTAATAAGGATAAAATGGTAAATTTACTATGCCAATAATTGATTTCTTAAAAGGTGTGTCAATTCAAAAGTGGACAAGTAATTAGGGATAGAGAAAGTAATTTTAACCATGTCTAAATAGTAATATATTTCGCCAAAGAGAATTCAGATGAACCTCTAACAGAAGGCTGGCTCCGCCCCTGGATGTGTGCACTCAAATTGAAACACATAATTAATCTATTTCATATCAAATAAATTTTTGATATTTTTTTTTATTGTTCAAAATAATTGAATTGTTAAAAGTTCAAGATGGATGTTTAATTTTTTTTTAATGATTTGATATTTTCTAGAATATAAATTACACTATTTACAAAGGTATATTTATGATTTTACAAAGGATAATAAAGAAAAATATGGTTTAAACTATGTTCATGGATGATTATTGTTAATAAATGTGTTGCCTTACAAAGTCATTTAATATGAAATAGGGGGTGTATCAAGTTAAAGTTAATGTACATGTGGGAATACACTTATAAAATATACCAAAAATATCTTTAAAATGTTATGGTTTTTGATATATTATATCATTAAATATAGAATGTGAATATTAAAATTAAAAATAATTCCAAATATAAGTGTCAATTAATTCAAAACGGTCTAAAAACAGAGTCTCAATCTTATAAGAGGGGATGCATGGAGTAACTTTTAGCGTGAATTTCAACGTAAATTTTAAAACTAAGTCTGAAATATTCAAAAGTAGTAACAATTATTTATTACGAAAAGATATCATTATAAATAATTTTTATCAATTTTTTGAAGATTGACTATTGATTATAAAATGATGGGGCTCTCAATTAGGGTTTAGATATGAGGGGTCGGTGGTGGGGGTGGGGATTTGGTCTCACAATTTGTAATGAGTATCTTATCTTTGGTAGGTCATAGGTGGCAGTGGCATCATCCTTTTTAGCACCCCTTTCCACATTTTCTTTTTCTCCCTCCGGACTCCACATTAAAATTTTAATTAAATTTGGATCACGCACTGCCTAATCTATTTAGGAGTGACACTTTCAACAAGATAATTTTCATACTCAAAGTAAACTGAGACCTTTGATTAAGGATAAACTAGCTCTAACACTGCACCACAACCTATATTGGTCTTTCCACATTTTCCTTTTCTCTCTTTAGTGTCCGAAATCTACATCACAATTTTGATTAAATTTGGATCGTGCACTACACTTCATGATCTATTTGTTCCACATTTTATTCTTCTTCCTTTGGTGTCCGAAATTCACATTACAATTTTGATTAAATTTGGATTGCGCACTGCATGATCTAGGTGACCCTCCCAACAAGATATTTTTCATACCCAAAGCTCGAACCTGAAACCTCTAGTTAAGGATAAAATAGTCTCACTACTGAACCACAACCTATATTGGTCTTACCACAATTTTGTTTCTACAAAGTGTATTTTGTCTTTATAGGTGATATGAAATTGATACACTGCTCACAATTTGAATTAAATTGTTATAATGTGTGTATATATTTGGCGTGAAGTTGGTATGATTTTGACATACCTTTATGTTTGTTTTCACTGTTTATAACTGGTATCAAATAGCAATTATATTTCGTGAAATTGATATACTATGTGTATGTACTTGGGATGAATTTGGTATACCTTTGTGTCTGTTCTTACTGTTCATAATTTGTACCAAATAGCAAAAAATAATAATTATGAAATTGATATATTGTGTGCATATATGTTACTGAAAAAAAAAGAAAAAAATATCTTACTTTTCAAAATTATATAAAAAAATAAATGAATTTAAAATCATGAATGAAAGCATAAAATTTATATTGAAGATAAATAGGGAAGAAAAAGAAAAAAAATGTAAAATTAAATATTGTGGGTATATTAAGGGAGAAAAAAATGATTTTCAATTTTTTTTAAAATTCATAGAAAGAAGGAGGTAGAGAAACTAAAATAGGAGATTGATACTATTAATTAGGATAATAATTAGGAGTGATAACAACAAAAATAGTATCCAACTAAATGGAGAAAATCAAGGATTTGTTATAAAATATTATAGTGTGGATGTCCACTACACACCAAGAAGTTACTCTCACCCATTATCACCATTACTTTCCTCCGTTATGAAGATAACCATAACCTCCAACTTTATAACACCATTATTCTTGTAACCTTTCACTTCCATAACCTCCTCCATTATATTCATGTTAATGTCATGTTTATGACTAGCCTTTTGTATGTCTCTATGTTACACTATAAATAGAGGCATAAGGGTTCATATTGTATAGACTTGAAGATTTGGTGAACACTTGAATACTATGAAGAATAAGAAAAGCTCTCATCTCTTGTTTTCCTATTTCTTTTGCTATCATCTTTTATATAAGGTAAATTATTGTGGAATCTATTTTATATTTTACTTGTGAACAAGGTGAATGATTAATATTATTGTTACTGTGCATTTCTTTTTCCATCTATGACTATATATACTTTCTTTTGTATGTGAAACTTATTTTATATTTTATTTATGATTATGCTCAATGTTTTGGGCTTTTAATTTATTTTGTTTTGTTTGTGAAATATTTTGGGTTCACATTAAAATTGAAAAAGGAGTAGTGTTAGTGAGCATTTTTATTTTAGTGTAATTGAAATTATTATTTTCTTAGTGTGCAATTGATTCTTTGATTTATAACGGTAATTCACTAGCTTAATTATTGTGCACCAAACATAATATAATATAATGCTAAATGTAACTCTCTGTTTTGACAAGTTTAAGATATTAGTACATAATTTGTTGAAAATATTTTTATTGTGTTTCTTTTGTTCTATATTATTTGTGCATGTTCACCACAAAGTCACAATATTTTTTTAAGGCTCAAAGGTGAGTCCTATTATATTTGGCTTATTATGTCATTGATTGAGGGTAAGATGAAGGATTCAAGTCCTATCGCACCAAGAGGGTAATAAATCGGGTGAGAGTCCTGATGCATCATGATAATAAAATGGTGGGTTGGGTCCCAACAAATAATGACCTAAAATGCCTTCTTAGGAGTAAGATGTTGGGTTCAAGTCCCAACGTTATATAATGACGATGTAACAATGATTGAGCAAATTGATATGCTCTTGATAAAAGTCATGAAATTTTTCCAATTGATTTGCTCCATTCTTTTATGTGAATGTGGTAGCATGACATAATGTGTTTGAAAATGACAAGTGGTTAAATGTATGAATATGACTGTGGTAAAATATTAATGGTCAATTGTGGTAATTAAAAGGAAGAACATTATGGGTTCTTAAGATGGTCCTTCAAATGTGAAGGTAAGTTTTTGCCATCAAAGTGGTATGAAAAGTTATTGGGCACATTGAGTTGGTGCAACCCAATTTGAAATTTTTTTAAATCCTCCATCAAAATAAAGAAATACAAAGTGGTAGTATATTTAGTACTTTTAAAGTGATGTTGAGGTGGGTCAAATAAATTTGATAATGTCAAAGTATGACTAATAAAAACTTATGGAGCATGTACAAATGGTTATGGTCATTTCTTGAAGAGGATGTGACTTGTGTTCGTATGGATAAAGATATGTTCATGTATGGTTGGATAATTGCCACATCTCACCTCTACGGGAGGTTTGAGATATTGAAAAAAATTTATATTTTGACATAAATGATCATTTCGGTCATATACTTTGAGTACTACACAAATATTGTGGTATGTTTTATTATAAACTATTGGAGGACAAAAGAAAGAAATAATTATTTTCTATAAAGGTTATGGTCATGACCAAAATAAATGTTATTGTGTGGCAACACAAATTTGTCATTGGTTGTCAAGAAATAAGTCTTGCAGTAATAATTTTAACCATGACAATAATAATAATTTTCTCCTTGAAGGAGATGCTCACCATAAGAATGGTGTTGTGAAATTTGTGGCATTATACAAAATTAATTGAAAGTTTCGGAAGGACTAATTTGTTACTATCTAGAAAATGAAATAGTTCATAATATTGAGGTTGTAGTAAGTCTCAAAAGAAACTTTCTAAGTTTCAGAGGAATTGAAAAGAAAAATTGTTATATTGAGACTGTAAATTATTAAAAGATTAAATATCTTCAAATTACTACAATCAAAGCGGGTTATGAATATTTACATAAAAGGTTGCCCATCTTTCTCTTGTTTGTTGAATAAAAATATGGGCATGACGAAGGAATCACATGCAAAAGTAAACTAGAAGTTTACTAGAATAAATATATGTTGGCATAACCGGTTGACCATTTCGGTTCAAATGTGATGCAAAAGAATTGAGAATTCATGTGGTTATATGTTGAAGAAATAAAAGATTCTTCAAGAATTCTCATGTGTTGTTTGTTCTCATGATAAAATGATCATTGTACTAGTTAAGGTTGGAATTGTATCCCCTGAAACTATTTGGAACATATAAAAAGGTGAATATAAGCCCATTCACCTGCCATATGGACCACTTACTATTAGATTTAATAGATGCATCTATGGTATGACCACATGTGCATTTGTATCAACTTACAAATTGGTTTTTGTAAGGTTGTTTACTCAAATTGTTAAATTAAGAGCACAGTTCCAAACTATAAAATTGTGTTGATAATACTGATTGGTCTAGCTATAATTGGTTGTAATGTGTATGCATCAAGCCAACAAGGTTCTCCCATCACAATTGGGTCAGGGTCAGGAACCAAATAATTTCCATCTAAAAATTTGATGTGTGCACATATGATTTTATTGCTCCACCACACACAAAGATGGATCCCCAAATGAGGTTGGGGTAAATGTTAGATTTCCTAACATTAGGGGGAGATATGTTTAGCAACTGAAAATTATGTGTGGGGTGAATTATCTAGA